TGCGAATAAAATTGATGAGTGACGTGATACGCGCGCGAGGAGCGGCAGTAAAACAACTTTTGCTGGCCGGACAGTGAAAGTTTTTTAACTGATGGCCGGAGCGGCGGCGTCACCTGTGGGTTGTTCCTGCTCTAATGGAGATGGATGCAGGGGTGATCCGCCGGCACATTATTTCATTATTTAGCCCTGGCAAGCGACAAAGTGCGTGTGCCGCCGAGTTGCTGTCACCAAACAAGTCGCACGGTGCCGTCTTTAAGGAGTTCTCTCTTCACAAACACACACACTTGTCGCCCCGCTTCCCACAGGTCCTCCTCGTTCCACGCCAAACTTCGTCAGGGAACAAATCTCTCGATCTTGCATGAATTTCTAATTTCCGCACTCCGGTGCCGAGGCGAAACTTTTTGATCTCGCGCTTCAAACTTCTCCATGCTCATTCACGGAGCAGGAAGCGCAATCTTAATTTCCAATTTGCGCCATTTCAAATCCTACCAACTAAAAGAGCACCATTTCGTATTATGAAAATGAATATGGTCGTTTTCTTATCTGTGTATATATATAAAAATTTCTGACAGTTTTTTGTGCGCCCCGTTTTCTGCGAGAAGATTGGGGGGGACCATTAAAAACCAATTTCAAGTTCATTGGCATTTGTCACAATCCAGCTGCCATGGCTGGGGAATAATAAAATGTTTTGCTTCAGAATGCGATACTTAAGAATTCTCTCCTTGTCTCCAGGGGCAATTGAAACTTTTTTCTTAAAGCGGTGGGAGGGCGGACGAGAAACTTGGCTGCTGGAGCATCGGCGGCCGTAGTATTGTATGTGCCTTACGTCTGCCCCCGAGTCGGAAAGACATTTTCCAATAAACTCTCGTTGGTATAAATAAAATAAAATGGAATGCGCCGCCGTTGTTGGTGCCGCCGCGTTTAAAAGCTATAGATTAGGAGGGAAAAAGCGGCATGAGACGCGAGCCACTTTATTCAGCGAGGTATATTTACGAGTTGGTAAACTACAAATTAGACGTCTTGCCTGTTGGCTTCTCTGACATTGCCGAGGCAAGCCAGCGCGACAAATCGCTTTTATTAGCATACACGCGACACAAAATTACCAGGAACAAGTTTTTTCGAAGATCATTTTAGAAATTCACCTATCAATTATATTCAGTCACTTTTATCATATTCAGTAATGTTTAATAATGATTTTAAAAGATAATAATTATATACGATTATTAACGAATTAAAATATTGACACTTCTGACGTGAAAATTCAATTCATTTTCTCTCAAGAAACAAGTCATAAAAGTAATGAAAACCATTAAATTTTGTCATAATAGTAATTTTTTGTGTTTAGCAAGCTCATTTGACCATTCGTGTATTAGTCAGCGAGCATCGCGTTTGCTCATGCAATAGGTTGGTACTTGAAGTTGGTACTTGAAGGTAATTTTAATTTTTATTTAAAATGTGGTGTTTTTTTCTTCAATATTGCTGATTTTTTTGTATTTTTCTTGCTCATGAAATAGGGTTGCAGACCGTAACCTAAACTGGTAGAGCCATTTTTTCCAACGAGGAAAAAACCCGATCTCTTCATCTCCTCGAGTGTCAATTTCTTCAAACAAATAGTTATTGATTATTGGTAATAATATTGCCTCTTATTCTTATTTAGCATTGTAAAGTATGAAAAGAAAATTCTTATACAAATATGAAAATAATATTATTATTATTATTTGATATTTATACGCCATAAAATTAGATTAAATGTGTTTAATTTTCTTCACTCATTTTTTTATCACACTGTTAATTTTTATTAGAGTTCTGGAAGCTTTGTGGATGTGCAATGCTTTTAACAAATAAAATGTACAAACAATTTAGTTAAATTCTCGGCATTGTAAAGGTATTTTCATCCATATCATGCTTTGATTGAAAGGAGCATGGACATTTTATCGAATTAATGCAATTAAATTGACAAAAGCTATTAAATGTGCTGACTAATTTGCATCCTTAAAAGTTCCTAGTATTGTACGTAAGTATCCATTTTGACTCATCATGTTTGATTGAATATTGAAGAATTTAGGTCCATTTTGAGTAAAAGGATTAAAGTCACGATCGCCAGCTCACGCGCCATTGTGTAAACCCTCTTGGAACACTTTTACTGAAAACGCTTTACTTCATAAAAAATTTTCTTGATTAATAATGCACACTCTGCTGTGGACGTACAAAATTACCCTGCACGTTATGTCGAAACATTTCAAGCGGCGCACATTATAAGCAAAGAGAAAAATTATGATTTCCTTTTCTTGGCCCTCTGTAGAGCGCTCGAACGTTCGCCGGCGAAAACAATTTCATCTCTCAGCTTAATTGTGCGAGCGCGTGTGCGGTTTGGCCCGTCGAGAAGTGCGAGAGTTGTCTTTAATGTTCCGCTTTCGGCTGCTTTATTTCGCAACTTTACATCCCAAAACGGCCGACCCAGTCGCTCGCTCGCTCGGCCGGTCCGAAATTCGCTCTCGCAAATTGCATGCAAAACGACGACTTTGCATGTCTGCGCGCGGGACTCTATATGTAAATGATGTTCGCTGCCAGATTTCCTTTTTGATGTCGGGCCCGGCTTTCTCTCTTGACGGACGATTCGGCCGAAAATAAACCATTCAGCACGCTCTCGCCTGTTTGTATTATTTGTACACAAAAAGCACGCGAATTGGATTAGACCGCAAAATTTTGAATGCGCCAAACTTTTCTATAAACTGATGCGGAGAGAGAGAGAAAGAGCATGAAATTTAAAACTCAATCTGCGACGCGCGAAATTCAAACAATGTCACTATAAAATCAGCTTTATGGCTTTATAAATTTAGATTGCTACTTTAGTGCGCCGAAATCTAATTATCACGCAGCGGCGCGGTGCGCCGGCTCAAAAAAAAAAATACACACAGCAACAAAACTAACTTTGGCGCTGGTACACACACACGTTGATACATTAAAGCAGCACCGGCGGCCGACTGCTATCATTATGACGTTATTTTTGTGGCGCAAAACGCGCTGCTTCACATTCATAAAAATTTCCTGGCGCAGCGTGCAGTGCAAATTAACGCCCGGCTCGCTCGCTCGCTCGCTCATACGCACACACACACGAGCCTTTGCTCTGCTCTGATGATGCTCTTTGCGCCGCTCCCACAGGACGCATGTAATATTAATTTTTGAGTAGCAATTTGGAAAGTACGAGGAGAGCAGAGAGAGCGAGAGAAAGGGGGTGGTGAGGAGGGAGACTGAGCGGCTGCAGCCAGGCTTGTTATTATGGCGCGTCCATCCCAGGGGTTTATTATTACGGCAGTTACAAGATGACATCAAGTGAGTGTGCCGACGCCGACACTCACACACCAGCCAGCCTCCTGCATGTGCAGGTACATCAAGAGGCAAAATCGCGTCAACCTGCGCCTCATCAATCGTGTATACATGATTTTGTGTTTGGGCAAATGAGGGCCAAGTTCGGGTTGTTCTTCACAAATCCTCTAAAAAGATTTTTTTAAGGAATGTTTCACAAATGGCCTAATTAATTTTAATAATACTTTTTCTTAACATCAGCATTGGTTTGTAGATGTGAATTCTAAGAAGCTCTGATAAAAAAAAATTGAATTCATTAGGAACACTGAATTTATGAAATTTAGCATAGTTTCCTATAAGAAATTTCTACAATAATTGTTTTTCTCAAAATGGGTCCAACCCAAAATTTATACAAAATTTCACCGAATCAAATTCATATCACCCTGATTAAGTTAAAAAAAAAATAGAATTAATAAGTATTTCAACTGCCCTGAAAATGTGAACAAATCTGGCAAAGTCACAGTATGAATCTTTTGACTGTCTTCTTTTGCTGAATTAATTTCTGCAATTTTCTTTAAATTATTTCTTAAAATTATATTCTCCCCATTTTTTTTTTATGTATAAAAATTCCTCCCATTTGGTTTTGGTTTGGACACGAAAAAAACCCTAGATTTTTTAAGTACCAGCAGATCGCAGGTTGTTACCTTTTGTGTCCTTTATTATTTTTCCATTTTTTCTTTGCCCAGTTTCAGTTTTTAATCAAATTTACATTTTGATCTTTTTTGTGGGAAATGGTTAAGTAAACATTTTTCTCGATCATAATCTCCTTGTTAAACAAAATTAAAAAGGGAAATTTATCAAGTTCGTGAAATTATTAAATTAATCAAATTAATCTGAAAGTAGATTCTATCTTCAAAGACGCATGAATGAAGTTATACGGATGTAAAAACTGTTTTACATGCTAAGGGAAAGATGATATTGTGTAAAAATTAGAAACTATTGATTAAATTTTTGTAAAAAAAAAAAACTAAAATAATAAATAAATAACTATAGCTGCGAGTAATCTAGTATTTAAGATTTAGGAAAAAAATACTTATTAAGTTATGAAGTTTTCAAAGAAAAAATCTTTCTGATTTAATTAAAAAAAAAACGCCGCCCTTCAGTGATTGAAGTCATTAAACGTCCCTTCTGCCAGTGAGGAGGAACGTGATGAATACGGAACGCGACCAATTTGGATTAAAACGGAATTTGACTATTATGATTACTCTCTTGGCTCTGCCGTTCGCGCAGCTGGAATAAGAGCCAGAGAGAGCGAGAAATGATCTTGGTTGCTCTGGCGTTTGTGCAAGTCAGCGAAGTGTCTATATTGCCACCATAAAATACTCTTTATAACCGAGTTGTAAAAAAGCAGCGGCTCGGCGCTGCAGATAGGCGAAAAAGAATTGCGACTGTGCAGCAGCGAGTTATTGAAAAACTAGGCGGCGGCGGCGGCGCGAGATTTATACATTTGTACGATCCCTTTATTAATAATTTAAATGCACGCCGCTGACAATAAAAGTTGGCCCATAAAAGTGATTTACGACGCCCGACGGGTGCGTCCTCGAATTAGAACGCATACGATCGTGCATAATGCAGCTGATAAATTAGTGATTAGAAGCAAGTTTTAATTGCCCACCGGACATACACACACTTACCTTGTAGGTGCCGAGGTGCTCGACGACGCAGGGCAGCGACGCGTCCCTGCCGAGCGCAACCGTCACATTCGGAATGGGCTCGGCGAAGCGTGGCTGTCGAGCCTCTTCAGTCAACACTGCAACACACAACAACGCTCTCAATGTAAATAAATACCACACACTAGGGTAATATACACGTGCTTGTGTGCACAGCTAATTATTTTAACGTCGGCCAAACACCATTATTCGTCGTTGATTATTCGATTACACCCTCGCACCCCTGTGATCCGGCCAATTAAACGGACAATTTTGTTCACTGCACTTGCGGCAGACCTCGGACGTTGCGCCAACATGCATCGTTGATTGTAAATTATAATTTTCAATTTTGGCACAGAATTTCTATTCGATTTGCAAAAAAAACGCTGATAAAATAAATTATTTTATTTACATATTGGATAGATTTTTAAAAATCTTGATAATCCTACTTTAATTTTTACTTTTCATTCTAAAAATTTTTTATGTCATCGATTTTTTTCAATATTTTCAATCACACTGATACTACAGTTTCCTAGCCAAATTTGAATTGAATTACTAAGTGTGTACTATTTATTTCTAAAGAATATTAAATGCATCTTTAATATTTTATTTTTCTTCAAATCCATTTTATTAGATTTATTCTTAAACTCTATAAACCAGAAAAATGAAAATACACTATAAACTAAATTGATTTACAAATATTTAAAAATTCAATTATAAATAATAAATTAAATATAGAATACTACATAATTGCTAATTATCGCAATTAATAATGTTAAATTTTAAATAAAACAAAGTAATTGCTTTAATTTTTATTGCGTAAATACTTTTGCTCTCAATCAATTACATTTTTTGACACTTATTGTTTATAGACTGGCGTGTGTCAGAGGCTGATTTAAATATGTTTTTCAAAATTATTTTGACTCAAATTGATTAATTCAAAAGTAAATTAAATTGACAATCTTTTTATGGTAAATTTTTATTAATATACGCTATTAAAAAAACGTCAAAATAAATTAAATTTGACTATTTTTTAATTATTTAGGCTTAATAATTGTGATTGTTTCATGAATTTAAACCTGCAATTTCCGAGACAAGTTGTCGCGCTGTGCAAGTAACAAGATATATGTTGCAAAATTACTTTGCGATCGTAGAGGAAACCCGACTCACGAGGAGCGCACATCGTTCTTTTCTCGCATGTCGCCGGCGGAAAAAAATGATTCCGCTCTAGCGACTCGAGCAACAAATATCCATTATTTCTCCAAGGCAGATGCTGCTGCCGCGCTACCACCGCAGTGTGGTTACGAAAGTCGTAACCCAATATAACACGTCTTCAGCGGCAACAGACGCACGTGCGTTATTAATATTTCTCGTTATTATTTCCCTCCATTTGCTTGATCAAATCCATTTTGCGAGTTATCCCGTAATTTGCGTCATCACTCACCGCGTCTCACGCGCGCGGGGGAGAACGAAAGAAAGGGAGTGCATTATTTCTCTCTCTCTTACAAACACACACACGGCCCGTAATAATTTCGCGCGCACTTTCTTTCTTCTCCGGCTCTCTTGCGCTTTTCTCTTTTATATCTCGCATCCACACACATATTTCTTCCTCACACACATTCGTTTCCCCTGTTCGTGTGTTCAACTTTTGTTTTCCACGTGCAAAAGAAAGACGGCCGTAAAATTTATCCCCTAGTTTAGAGAAAAGAAAGCATTTATAGCCAAGCTTCTCCACTCGCACTTTGTCTTTGAGAAAAAATCGCCTCCGACTGCTGCTTTTACTGCTCCCTTGAACGTCTCGACTGACGTCTCAACAGTTTGCAACACTCAATACACGTGCTCTTGCGCTGCGCCATTCTCTGCCAAATTTACGTGTTCAAATTGTTGGTATAAAAGATGAAGAAAAAGTGGCTCATAGAAGTCGGCGAAACAGACTTATGTTGGAAAAAAAAGTTTTCGGAGGGAAAAAAGAACTCTTTTTCTTATAATGGAATAATTTTCGGGAAATTGCGTGCTCGAGGTCGTTCTGCGCTTGTTTTTCCGCGGAAGTGAAACAACCATTAGCCGTGCTGACGGTGCGATCGAGCGCCAAGTGTGATTTTTCACACTTGCCTCGAGTGTCGGAATTTGAAAAGAGATGAAAAGGGCGGGCACTTAATATATTTACTCCACGGGGCGGCGGGAAATACATACATCATCTTTTTTTTTTCATTTGGAAGGGTAAAAAAGCAGCAACAGTCGAAATGATTATTAGTTCCGTGACATTTTATGAAAAATGGGAATAAAAATCTTTGAGAGAGCACAAAAGCGGCCTCTTTTTGTTGGGAAAAGCGTTGGCGCGAGGCTCTCTCTCTCTTTTAAGTGGTAATGATTGTTGTTCGGCCAGACAAAAAGAGAAAGAGCAGGGCAGAAATGGCGGCAAGAGAGTGATGTGCATCGATTAGCGCCGAAGCAGGTAAAACGCGCCCGACATTTAGACTCGGGAATAATAAATAAATGTCCCATCGTTTGTTCGAGCCATGTATGCATGTAAATATAAAACAGAGCGCACACATGGCACTTGTATTGAACGCCTCTCGCGCGCCGTGTCTGGCACCGATACACAAATATTTAAGGAGATGCGCGCGATTCCATTCTACCTCATTCGCACTTTGTAACAACAGCAAAAATTGAGCTCGCACCAATCAGAGGAGCGTTTTTTCCTAAACTTCAAACTGGTTAATTTTCTTAAAAATAAAAAAGTTCCAATTTTAATTTAAAGATCCTCTCCGATCATTTAGAATTGCTCTCTATTCTGAAAGATTGCTAAATTTCGAGTATATCTTGTGAAAACACTATTTAAAAATTCCAAACCGTTGCGTCGCAATCAAAAGAAAATTTAAAGTGATTCGCGCGAAAAACGTGTGAGAATTGAGTAGCCAATCAGATCCATCAGTTTGTTCCAAAAACTACAAGATTTGGTCACATTGGCGCTGCGATCGCTGATTTTGCCACTAATGCCCCACGGCGATGCAGAAAACTTGGCAAAATCAGCGATCGCAGCGCCAATGTGACCAAATCTTGCAGTTTTTGGACTGAACTGATAGATCTGTTTGGACACTCAATTCTCACATGTTTTTCGCGCGAATCACTCGGTATTTAGGTTTTCTTTTGATTGAGACGCAACGGTTGAATTTTCACATAGTGTTTTCACAAGATATGCTCAAAATTTAGCAATCTTTCAGAATAAAGAGCAATACAAATGATCCGAGGGGGTCTTTAAACTTAAAAATTGTAAATAAATCAATGACGCTATGGAGGCAAAGAAAATAGGAGGAAGAGGGCGGGAGTGTTAAAAAAGTGAACAGTTTTGGCACTGTTGGCGCGGAATAATGAAGAGGCTGCGAACCCTGCGGATTCTCGAGAAAAGTCAGAAACGCGGCGTGGTGGGGGGATCAAGCTGGAAAATGATGCTGCAGGAGTCCGAGTTATTTATGAAGCTACTTTTTTAGCACCCCATGCAAGAGGGCAGGAGAGAGAAAAGGGGCGCAGGCAGTTTTCCCTCCTTGATGGCAGCAATTTTCGCGTCTAATACGGCAATACTCTCGCCCTCGGTGTGTGTGTGTGTCCTGCAGTCTTTTATTTTTCAAAAGCCGTCGACCGGCTGCAACGGGCTAAATTGCACCGTCCGTTCCTCCCCAGTGGCCGGCAAGTTGGCCATATGCTGACCTGTAGTCACCCGCGCCAGTCAGGAAATGAGACCCGCTATTTTTCCGCCGAGGAGGTGAGAAGACCCCTCGCCTCTCTTCCGCTCACTTTGCCCTATTGTTTGACAGGGGCACCACAAATTTTTTTTTCACGCCTTCCTTTTTGCGAGGGGGACGATTAACCCATTTTCGCTGCGTGTTGGTTTTGCAGATGATAAACAAAGCGCTCGCTTGATTTATATCGCCTTTCGCCGGCACTCGGAAGCGACAAGGAGACATTTTTATGGACAATATTAAATTTTAAAACCAGCGACAATTCATACACACTGCGAAATGGAATTTTTTATTGTGGAAATATGTTACTAACAATAAGCGTTACAAGTTTCGGTTAAATATGGAGATGTTCTAGAATTTGATACCAGAATAATATTTCCTGTTAAATATGTAATTTGAACTCCCCTGCAACGTCAGGTAGTGGGAATAGCAGGGCGGGGAGAGTTTACGGGCAGACAATTGATTTGGCATGATTTTTAATATCTCTCTTTCATTCAATTTCTTTTTCCAATCTTCTTTTCTGCTGGGCCGCTCGTAAAAATTTACGCCCAGAGTTGCATGTGGAATTGAAAAGAGGCCGCCGCCGCTGCATCATCTCAGCCATAAACATTTATTCTTGCACCCCGAACACGTAAATTTTTGTGCGAAACCCATTCTATCAGAGAGCGCAAAATATGGACGTGTTCATTTACGTCCAGAGTAAATCATACTTTATTTGACACGTATCGTTGAGCGCATAAAAATGGTGATAAATTAAAGGCTTGGAAACGTCAAGCAGGCCGTTAAATTACTGCTATTTTAATAAAAAAAAATCAACAATAAATGTAAAATTTAAAAACCAGAAATTATGTGAGATTTTTATTTACTAAAATGACGGAAAATTAGCCAAAGAATCAACTCTCTTCTCATGAAAATTGCTGGTTATAATAAATTTATTATGAAACAATTTCATAATTCATGCGGAATTTTAAATTCGTGAAGTGAAAAATTGATTTATGTAATAAAATTATTATTTACTTTTTAACTTGAAAGTTATTATTATTAAAAATATTCATTCATTGAAGTAGTTTAACATTTCATTACTTTTGAGATTATTGCTTTGTATTTTTCAATTTTTTCGTCAACTTTTTTATTTGTTCCATATTTGGGGGCAAAGTTACTTGGTTTCAAATATATTTGAAACTAAAAATCACAAATGTTTTTTCAAGATAAATCAAATAGAACCTCAAAAAGAAACTTCCAAACAATTTGTCATAGGAATTTAAAATATTCTTCATAGTGGTTATAAAACATGAGTGCAAATGTACGGTGCATTTCTTATTCCGTCGGCTCGGATCCGATCACATCGAAGAAGTAAAACA